CAAGGAGTCCAAGGTGCTGAGAGGTGGCACCCTCTTTTCCAAGCAGAGCCCACGCAACTCTCTTCGGCCTCCAGAGGCCTATGCTCTGCTCAGCTTTGAGCTTCAGCTCCTCCCTCCAGGGCTCTGTTCAGACTTGTTCTGGGGGGGAAGCAGCACCTCCTGCCTTGGACACCCCCCTGGGCAGCACACAGTCTCTCCAGGCCTTATCAGAGCTCCCTCCAAAAGCTACAGTCTCCATGCGTTAAGGCAAATGTCTTCCAACCACTCGGATGAAAGCACTTGGCGGGTGGAGAATGCCACACACTCTCCTTGTCCCCCAAGTTGCCAATGTTAGAAGTTTTCCCAAAGAAAAGGAAAGATCCTCTTCTAGGATTCAGCAGTCTATGAACTCTGATAAGTCTGGAACAAACTGTACTTTCTGAGCTGTTTGAGGCTCAGCTTTCCCCGTGTCTCCAGCCTTCCAAAACAGTAAGCTAAAGGTATGGCCTTGATGCTCCATCCCTTTTATTTCTGCTATCCCACAACTTGCTGAGCAGAGGTGGGGAAGGGGCCCTGGGAGCATGCACTCGTGGTAAAGATGAAAGCATTACTTCTCTTCGATTTGTTTGGAATACCAAACATGCCTAGTTTATAGCTGCCTTTAGATTATTCTGCGGTCTCCGGTTCTTGGGGTATTACTTGTCCTACATATTGCTTCTGCTAACTCTTTTTATGGAGTTCCTGTTCCCATGGGAACTTTAAGACAGGTTCATCTTTAAAGGTGGCTTCTCCTGCCCCATGGAGCTCCTGTGCCCTGGTTCCTGTAGACTGTCTCTACAGAGAGGTTTGCCATTACTGGGGGTGGGGCTGAGTGGGTTACTATCTTGGGCATTTGCTATGAAAATTCTTGGCTGAGGATTCCTGCAACACACTCATGCTATACTTTGGGCTCTGGTTCTGGCTAGGATCTGCGGTCTTGGTTTCTTTTGCTCTCTGGGCTGGCAGAATGAGCGTGTGAGCTGCCCTGTCCTGTGTGGTGCTGACTCTGGCTTCATGCAGAGCAGCACTCAGCTCTAGCTTCCCGCCTCTCCTGAGTCAGGCTGCATCTCCTGTCTGATGTTTCACATCCCCCTCATCCCTCCTCAGGCTTCATTTCTGGTAAGAGAGAGGGAGGCTTGGCTCTGCGGTAACAGCTCTTGCTGTTCTCTTTCACTCGGCTACATATGCTGCAGTTGGCCTGCCCTGCGTCTGACACCAATGCCCTGTTACTGTCTGCACTGAAGGTAGATGCCCTCGCAGCGCTGGCCAGTGCCCACTAGAGGCCAGCGATGCCCAGTCTGTGCCCGGCTCAGGACTGATGTGGCCTAGGCTTCTAAAGAGAGCATGGGCTGTGAAATCCCTGACTTCCTTCCACCCCACTTTGGCCCATCTGGCCTCTGGGCAGGGGGCCTGCCCTCCTGCAGGCTGGCCTTTCCCCAGGCCAAAGAACTCTCTAAATGCCCCAGAGCATCTCCAGTGACTTTGGGGATGCTGCAGTTCATTCCGCCTTCTCCACCCAGTCAGCAATCCCTTCAGCCTGGCCCTGCCCAGGGAGGCAGAGGGCAAGATGAGGGAGACATGAGGGGAGGGGCTGCGATTCCTGCCTGCGATGGGCCTTTCAACAATGAAAACTCCAGCATACAGCTGCAGCTTGAGTCTGCATTGTCCAGGCCGTGACCTAGTGCCTGGAGCAGCTGAGCAGTTGGTGCTGTCCCCTGGCGCCAGAGGTGATGGGTGGCAGCTGCAGAAGCAACCTAGGGAACCTGGGGCTGGCGGGCCCGGCCCATCTGCTGTCCGGGGGGTCCCTTTCTCCTTATCACTCAAGGAAGGGCTCGGCTCTGTTCCAGACCAGCAGCCTAGAGCAGTGGGCTAGAGCGTAGAGATGCCGCTGAGCTGGAGCAGCCCAGTGGCGGAAGGGAGAGTGGGTGATAAATTTAAATAACCAGCTTGACTTGGCAGCTTGCTGAGTTGTGATGCAGTGAAATTAAAATCTCGGCAGAACCTGCAAACACTGCTGAGAAAAACTGGTGTCTTGCTTTGGTTCCACAATAGAAGGGGGCATGGGAGAGGTTCTGAGGCTGAGGCGTGGCCACTTGTCCACAGTGATTAGCTGTGTCCTGGCCCGCTGGGCCCATCCCCTCTCCACACAATGGTCCAGGTGCCTCTCTCCTCTCAGGCCTGACCTTGTGGAACAGCTACATCAAGTGGCTGGTGAAGTTTGAAATCAGCCTCCAGTACCAGGAGGTGGCAGGAATACCAATAAGGTCTGGCTTTGCAGGTGGGGCGAGGGCCTTCCTGGCCGACTCCCCCGGGACCTGCCAACAGCTGGGCGGTCCCTGAAGCCTGTCCCCAGGGAGGAAGGTGGGCTGCGTGCTGGCCATCAGGGGTGAAAGGAGCTCCTGGAATATGTGGCTTGCCAAAGCCAGGATGCTACGAAGGGCGACCTCACTGTCTCTCCTGCTCCCACCTGCCCACGATCACCCACCTACCGGGAAAGGCCTTTTCCTTTCTCCACCAAAGCTCTTGGTATTTTCCAATAAAACAAGCTGCTAAAGCATTTAGGGGAATCTCTACAAACACACCAAAGCCTCCCCAGCCTGGAACCCAGTTCTCACAGATGCTAACACTGGGAAGAACTCACCCAGAGCCCACCCCTCCGACTGTCCTGCACCCGGCTCGGTGGCACCCATGAGTCCCACCCCAAGGCCACAGGCTAGAGTCCTGTCTAGGCAGCTAGTGTGGATCTGGGCAGTACCCCAGTTCTCACCTTGACAGTACCTCCAGCAAATTTGCTTTCCCCCTATAATAAAGATGTCATGAATCTTTCATCTTTAACAGATTATGCAAATTAGGAGGACATAAAATCAACAAAGATCAATAGCTGCAGCCCTTGATTTTTTTTTTTTTTTAATGTGTTTGGTACAGGGTCTCACTATGCAGCTGAGACTCATAGTGGTCCTCTTATTTTTAGCCTCCCCAGTGCTGGGATTACAGGCATGTGCTGTGGTCAGCTCACTGCACCAGGGGCAGGGCTGATGTGGCATGTGGAGCTGGGGATCGAACCCAGGTCCCTGTGCTTGCCTAAGCAGGTGCTTAGTCTGCTGAGCTATCTCTCCCACCGTGGTGCAGCCCTTTAATTACCAGCAGAAGCATTCTAAGAGTGAGCCTAACCTGCAGCCCTTCCTCTGGCAATGGCACCACTAATCCAAACAGTAGGTCTTGGCCAAACTGAGGGAAAACTGTTCTTTACCTCCACCCTGCACCCCTCCCCCACCCTTCCACACTTCTTTCTTTTTGGTAATTTCCAGTTTCTGAGTGAGTTTCCCCATCATTACCACTGGTGAACAGCTCCGAATGTTAATGGTTCTGCTTTTGTTACTCCTCGCTTGATTGAAATGTCGCATACAGATTGAGATGTTAGTGCTAACTTGCCACCTGGGAATGTCAAGCTGGGTCTGAAATGAACTTTTCTCACACTTGGATCCAGATGGATCAGCCGGAGATGTTCCCAGGCTGAGCTGGGACTGTTCCCGGGCCATGGGGGGGAGATGGTGGGGGCTGCTCAAAGTAGAGTCACTTTTCTGCGGCAGCCCCAGTGTGCCCTGCGGCAGGAGCCTTCACCCAGAGATCCACATTGCTGCCCCTAGAATGTCCCTGCCTTGTGGACGTGGCCTGAACACCAGGGAGCACCATGGACTTGGAGAAAAGTCTCCTGTGCTCTCTTTCACTACATGGCTGGGTAGGCCTCTGGGGAAGTGACCAGGGGCCTCTCCGAAGACGAGGGTGTCCTGGCCCAGCCCACGAGCTCCCAGGTCGGCTGCAGAGGCTCCTGCTGCTGATCTAGGCTATGCTCCATGTACAGCCATTGCTCCCACAGCCTAGGCACTCCACAGCACTTCTGGAGCTTAGCCGTAAGGTCCCTGCCCGACCCTGGACCCTACTGTCTGCCTCCACCCTCCTCAGGAGGACATGGGGAAGCTGAGCTGGGGTTCTTCACCCCAGGAAGCTGATTCTGGCCCCAAGGCCATCCCAGCCTGGCCTTATCCAGGCCAGCTCCAGGCCACAGCCAGCCCTGTCTTGCCTGACTGAAGGGTCCTGCTGCCAGGCTGGCTGCCTCCGCTCACTTTGCAGGTAACAACTCAGTACCCCCATCCCAACTTTGACCCTTCTCAATCACCCTGTCTTTCAAGGAGCACCGGCACATTTGCTTTAGCGTCTCCTGAGTAGTTAGGTGAATTTTAGTAACACCTCAATGTGCGTCTCTCCCACTTGAGCACTCTCTGGGATGGGAAGCCCCTCTGCAGTGTCAGGTGCTGTCTGCAGCGTGTGGCTCTGTGAGCTTAGCTCCATTCACAGGCCTCAATGCACAGCAACCCAGATGCCCCTCAGCTCTGGACCTGTGGGGGCTCCTGGGCAGCAGGAGCTGCTGCACTTGACCCCAGTTGGCCTTGAAGTCAGCCTTGGTCTCAGGGACTTCTGGTGCGAGAGAAGGCTACAGCAACTGTGCTCGTGCCTGCAGAGCTGGCGCCCTGCCTTTGAGCACAAGGCTACAGTCATCTATGCCACCTAGAGCGACAGGCAAGGGCTCCCCAGGAGCCTTGGGGATGTAGGCATGTGGCAGGTGGCACTCACCTCCTGGCCTACTTGCCCTCGCATTCTTTGGCACATGTAACTAATAGCTCTTACGTCTGGCTACGTTGGGGAGCTAAGCAAACACGCAGAGGCTCAGCAGGAGGATAGGCTGCTCAAAGCAGCTCCAAGCTTTCCACCTTTCCAGGCTGAAGCCAGCCCCCTGACCACAACATTTTCTACATACATCTGTTCAGGAAATACCCTAGTTTTTGGAGGTACACTCTCAATCTTTCTCTTTTTACAGACATCAAGGCAGGCAGGGTGCCCACTTGTCACACAGGCCCCAGATGGCACAGCTGAGGTCCCCCCTGACTGAGAGCAGTGACCCACCCTCCTCGAAGCCCCCTTACCGGTCACGACGGGGTATGTCTGTGTGCCTGACACATTGCTGCCCAGCTCGGGGTTGGTGGATGCAGACAGACCTGACTTGACTTCATCAAGCCCAGGGGTCAGTGCAGGGAGGGAGTATTCATTCCCCTGTGAGGACACAGAAAAGAGACAGCTCTCTAGTGATGTGCACACAGAGAAAGGGCGTGGCGTGCAGATGGAGAGGAGGAGGACCGGGGCTCCCCCAGATGGGCTGGAAGGGGGGACTGGGAGGGAACGGCTGCACATAGATGGGGGCAGGCCCGACACAGGGAGGCAGACGTGTGGCTTACACATGTGGGTGGTTTTCCGGGACTGCCGTACTCTCCTGCCTAGGCAGTGCCAGTGGGAGCCTAGCACCGGAGCGTGCTGGCTGAGAGGTGCTGGGTGTGCAGGTGTCCCTGGGGTGGGGAGCCGGGGGTGGGCCATGCCGCGAGGGCAGCGGCAGTAGCTGGGGAAGGGGCTGGCAGGCCCTCCAGCCTGGCATGGCTGGGCTGGCTGATGGGGTATGGGCTCCCCTTTTTAAAAAACAAACAAAGACAGCCCCACGGGCCCCTTGCTCTCTGCCTGTGCACTGGGGTATGAAATTGGGGAGGGGGAGAGTCCACATGGCTACCAGAAGGGTGGGAGGGGGCCGGTCATTGACTCTGAAAGGGTGTCCTGCCCGGAACACTCGGGTAATTGCCTTTTTATTGCAGCCGCTGCCAAGCCCGACCCCGAGCCCGGCCGGCCGGCCGGCAGCCGCTCAAAGCAGGAAAAGTTGCTCTGATTAATATTACCTTAAATTAAAACTGATTTTCTGCTCTTTCGGGTTTTTTCCCTTCCGCTTCCTGGCCCCCCCAGAGGACCCCTCCCCTCCCTGGCTGGATGGGATTGCCTCGTCATTTCCAATTCCTTCTCGTATTGATCTTCCTGTAGAAATCAGTTTTGTAATTAGCTGCAAATTAGGCCTTCTACTGGGGGTGAAGCTGCCCCCTGATTTATCACCAGAGTAATTCGCTGTGATCGGAGAGAAATTAAAATGAACTCAATTAGGCTTCGGATTTGCTTTATGGGCCCTGCTCCGAGTTTCAGGGGGAAAAATGACTGTGCTGGTGTTTAATAGTCTAATGAAAGTAAATAAAGGTTATTCATTGTAATACAGCCGGGGACTCGGGAGGGTGCGCTGAACCGCCCGCCTTGGCCAGCTCCTCCTTTGTTGGTTTATGGCTCAGGGCACCTTAAAGAGACTTTTGATTTTTGTTTTATGAAGACAAACAGCTTATGGGATAAAAGGACGGGCGGGGAGCAAGGCGAGGGGCCAGGAGCAGAGCTGAGCGGCGTGGAGCCCAAGGGCCCTGCTAGTGTGCACTTGTGAGTGTGTGCGTGTGCCGCGCTGCACTCGCAGCCTGAGTGAGGCCGCAGGTATGCGAGGGACAGCAGTGTGCTGGCGCGCGTGGGGCTGCCCTGGTGGTGGGTGGGGGCACGTCCTGGAGCTGTCTGGCTTTGCCCACCTGGGACCACACACAGCACCAGGTGCACACGTGCGAGCGAGGCCAAGTTCATGGGGGTGGCAGAGCTGGAAACACGTTCCTCCCATGTGGGCTGGGCTGTTCCAGGGCTGCAGGGAGCCCGGCGTCAGGGTGGGCTGCCGGGTCACACTGATGGCCAGGTGGAGAAGCAGGGCAGCCACAGGCAGCCTGCCCTGAGGCTGGGTGAGGGGAGCCCACAGACACACACAGGCTTTCCAGAGGACCAGCAAGCAGAGCAGGGAGATGGCAAGAGGGCGCTCCTGAGAGATCCATACCAGGGCTCAGAGTGACAGGGCCAGAAGGAGACCTGACAGCTGCCATGAGAGGCTTTGTTCTCAGCTGAGAAACTGAAGCTCCAGAAGGCTGAGGCTCACCCTAGACCACGCCCTTGCCGCAGAACTCACTCCTAATTATTGTGACCACAGTGGTTTTTCTTAACTGTGGCCTGGTGGCCCTGTGTGGCACGTGTCACTGCACCACATGATGCCCATGTGAACCTGTGCCCTGCGGGTGTGCACTGAGTCTGTTTGCAGGAGGCCTCATCTCCCGGTTCCCCTACTCTGCAAGCAGGAGGCTGTACCCTCACCTGCTCTGACTTGATGTGCTCTGATGCCTGGAAGACATCAGGGTAAGACGGTCGCTCAAAGACTCGATCCAAAGCTTCTAGCTGCTGCTGGGTGAAGGTGTCAGCTCTCAAGTGCTTCCGCAAACTGTCCACGCCACTCTGGGAGTCTCCATTGGGGACTGAGCCCTCAGACACATCTGGGGAATACATGGATACCTGGCATTAGCAGAGGCATGGTAGAGTGAGCGGAGCGGTGGGACCCCGGCTCTGGCCCTGCCCACATGGCTTCCTCCAGTGCAGGCTGCCTCAGAGAGCTGCTCAGGAGGCTGGAGCCCTGAATGAGGAGAGGGAAGGAGGGAAGGAAGCAGGAAGACCTGGGAGAGGTGGAGTCAGAGGCTCCGTGAGGTGCCTTCCAAAGAGCCATCTCCCAGGTTCGCTGTGGCCCCGGCTGGGTGAGCGTGGACATGAGTTGGGCTCTAAGACCGGCAGTGACTATGGAGAATCAAACTTGGCTAAGAGATGAATTTTGGTTCCTGTGCTTCCAAGGGTTGAAAATCATCAAGTCTCTGGGGCTGAGTATAACATGGTGGCTGGGTGATTAGTTGTGCCCTGAGGAAGGGGCTCTGAGAGCAGGACTGGGGCTCTCAGAGGGGTTTCATGGTCTGGGGAGCCCCTCTCTGAGATCTCTGGCACAGTCTCCATCCTGAGCCCACCTCTGTCCCCTGATCCTGCTGTGGATTTCCATAAGGATCTGGGCTTTGGTCCCAGAAGGACAGCCCTGTCGGTGGTGCCCTGCTAGTGCCAGCTCCCTTGGGGCTGCAGCCCATCCTATGTCTAGGTCAGGCTCTGCCCCGAACTTGCCCTCCATTACCTCTTTTACCTCGAGGTCTCTCGGCTTAAGGACCCTTGGAGAGTACAGGGGCAAAGAGCTGAGTGCTGCCTCTCCCTGAGCCCCATCCCTAGCCTGTCACCCCTTGGCTTCCTCAGCCCAGTACCAGCTGGGGGCCTTGGGCCCAGGGCCCGCCCATGCTGTAGGCCTGGTGTCCCTCTGGGACTGTTATATATATCAGTTTATAGGTGATTATATGATATGATATAATCAATATTGCATTATATACAGTAACACCATACAGTATCATTTGGGAGACCGTAGAAAATATTACATATTGATTAACCTCATCCTGCAGCTATCTACCCTCGGGGGCCTCCTGGACAGAGCCCAGGGCTCTTCTTTCCTGAAGAGACCTCGTTTCTTCTCCACACTGCTCTGAAGGGGATGGCAAGGGCCAGAAGCATCCCCTCCACCTGAGTGGTGGTGGCCAGGGATGTAGCTCAGTGGTACTGCGCCTGCCCGGCAAGCATGAGGCCCTGGATGGTAGTGCGGTGTTCCCACGGATGCAAACCTGGTGGTTGTGTTTTTCAGTGTAAGGCTCTGGGATATCTTTCAGAATTAGAGGGTGTAGGCACCCCTATATGTGCGACCCCTACGGATTGGGGGGTGCATATTCTTCCCTTTCTGAAAGGCTGTGAGCGTGTGTGTGGCTGCATGGGGGCACAGCCCGCGTCCCCAAGCTTCGGTGACTGCTTCTTTCCCCAGGATGCGTGCCACCCTGATTTCACTCCCAGCAGCAATCCACATTTTCTGTTGTTTGGCCCTCTCAGCCTGCAGCTCCTTCCTCTTAGGGGAGCCTTGTTATTAGGGCTGGGGGAGGCACCCAGGGCCTTTGTGTGTGGCCCCTGAATGTCACCCTGCAGTGGGCTGCAGGAGAGAATGCGCACGGTCTCCAGAGGGGGATTACATGGTGCTCTCGGGTGTGTGCCCGCGGCGGCGTGGCAGGCTCCATCATCCTCTCCTTGTGTGGATTTGTGTGTATGTCTGCGTGTGGCTTGGCTCGCCCTGTGCACATCCGTGTGTGTGTGTGTGTGTGTGTGTGTGTGTGTGTGTGTGTTAGGGGCTGGACTGAAGCTTTGTCCTCAGGTCACTGGCTGGAGGAGTCCCTTTGCCTTCATTTATTCAGGGGCCCTTCAGATCTTGACAAATCTGTCACTCTAAATTTGCGAGAGATTATGGCGCTCTCTCCCCAGCCTGCAGAGAGGTGATATATGATATCTGCTGCCCCTATTGATTGCCTGATCTGGTGGCAGAGGCCGGCGAAATGAACTTGAAATGAACATCATGCCTCAACTCATTGTGCGTATAATACACTACTTAATCCCACATTTTTCAGCCGCTATGGAATTCAATTGATCAATCATGTTCCACTGATAGTACTGTTTTAGGGCTACTGCTGCTCCCTCCACTCGCTGACCTTTTTATTTATTTATTTTTTTGTACACTCAGGCCCTGGTGGGGAGACAGGTTACGGAGGCCCTGTGGAGAGAAGGGGAGGGCGGGAGGAAGCTGCTAGTGGAGAGGTGCCGAGGGGGCGGGGGCTCAGGGAGACGACAGGGAAGACGGGTGGGCATCAAGAAGGCCAGTGGAGCAGGACGATAACGTGGCTGGCAAACGCAGGCCAAGGCTCCTGAGGCGGGAGCAGGCCTGAGGCGTGCCCCTGGGAAGGAGGGCTGCAGGTCACAGTCACAGCTGTGATGGATGTGGAAGGCGCACAAGGATTTGGGGGCAGGACAGGACAAGGTGCTAGGAAAGCACCCTCCAGGCCTCCCAGCCAGAGGCCTCCCAGGCTGCCTGTCTCCACCGCCCCAGAGGAGGAAGGGTCAGGCAGAGGAGGAGCAGAGGTTGGCAGAGGCCCAAGATGGGAAGGAGGCAGTCACGGGGCACAGGAAGGCAAAGGTGGGCAGAAGATGCCAGAGAGACCCTGGCCACAGTAAGGGCACTTGGCACAGTCTGGAGGCAACTGGCTGTGCTGCGCTAACAATGCACATTCAGCTGCAAAGGGCAGCCAGGCTGGGCTGGAGAAGGGTGAGGAGGTACAGGAAGAACAGAGAGGCAGAGAGAGGAAACAAAGGGAAGACAAAGCCCCTCCCAAAATGATGGAAAGGACGGCACCGCCCACAGGCAGAGTCCCAAGGCCACAGTGGGGGGGAAAGAGACCCAGAGACCTGGGTGTCCGAGGGCTCAGGCAGGCAGACCCCAGCTAGAGCCAGGGGCAGTAACAGGTGCTGATGTAGCTTTCAGAGCAAGTAGGGAAGGATGCATGGGAGCAGCCGGTACCAAGCACCTGCTAATGAACACACCCAGCCAGCAGCCTGGCCACAGTGCCAGGCAGTGAGCGCCTTGTTCACAGGGTTGCCGTCGACACATTTCTGTAACTACAGTGCCAGGCGTGGCCAAGTGGCTGTCCAGTAAGTGGCTGAGTGAATGAGACCTCCTTGGAGGAATTCATAACCCAACCCTGCACAGAGGTTTTGGAATTACGCACCTGACCAGCCTAGCGCCTGTCAGCTTGGCCATTGGCTGGTTAGCCTCCCACAGAGTCCCACATCCCTGGGGGCCCTTCTCACCTTCAGCAGCTCTGTCCTACCCACCTTGGCGCCTTTAGGAAATAAACGGAGTTCACTATGTCCGGGGTAAAGAGTGGGGCCTAGACTTGGAGCTTCAGAGCCGCCACCCCCAGCAGACCACAGAGGCTTCTCAGGGATAGGGCCCAAGAGCCCAGAAGCCCTGGGCTTTCTGGAACATTCTCACTTCCAGTCTTCGTGCCCATGCTCAGCCTATGCTGTTAGGTGCAGTTCAGAAGTCAGAGCTGCTGCAGGTTTGGTAAGGGTGACTACCACCCAGAACAGGAAGGGCCATGCGCTGGTCTAACAGTCTCCGCCTTTGGAGGACCCTTCCCAGCTAGCTGGGGGCAGACAGGCACCGAGAGCTCCTTGTAAGTCACTGCCACACTTCAGAGTTTATGTCACCCTTCCAACAACTCTATCAGGTAAGTACAAATACCACTTTAAGGATTAGCAAACTTAGGCAAAGAGAGTTCAAATAGCGTACCAAAGACTATGCAGCTGTAAATGACAGCCGGACTCAACACCCAGGTCTGCCCACTCCACAGACTCCTACACTACCTCACTCTGCTGCCTGGGGGCATCTCCAGCTCTCCACCATACGTCCTCCCTTGTCCCCAGCTGAAGTTGTGGCGCAGACGATGCTGTGTGAAGCCTGCCCGGAGGGTGACAGCTCCTGTGCCTGTGAGAGCAGGCTGAAGCAGCCAGCTGGGCGGGGAGGAGGGCAGGCCTCAGGCCCAGGGCTCACTGGCAGCAGGAGCAGGGGTGAGCCGTGGAGGAGGCTCTATCCACCACAGGGCAAGTGCCCTTGGAAGGATGGGCTCCATGAGGCGTTTCTAGGGACATGGAGAGGGTATAGGCTAATGAATCAAGCAAGCAAGCAAACTTGGACATACGTTCCTGCAAGATCTTCACTGCCTGCTTCACATTTGCTTCGTGCCTAACGTGGTCTTCACAGACCTGACTTCTTTGGGGTCTCACCGCTGCTCCCCAAGGTGAGCTGGAATTGTAATGCCTTCTTCACTGGGGTGGAGACAGGCTCAGAGCACAGTATGGCTTAGGTGGTGGACAGTGGCACAGGGAAGGCGCTTGGTAAGCAGCTGTGCATGAGCCAAAGGGCGACAGCACTGTCCATAAGCCAACGTCCTGGACCCTGGCCTCTCTGCAGACAGAGACCTATAAAAGCAAAGGCCTCATTGACTAGAAAGATAGCCACCAACATGGTGACAGTGGTTGCTTCTGGATGGTAACTTTTATTTTCTTCTCTAAGTTTTTCCATATTGGGGCTGGGGAGATAGCTTGGTGGTCTAAGTGCCTGCCTGGCAAGCTAAAGGACCCAGGTTCAATCCCCGGTACCACATGGTGTGCTGGCCCTGAAACCCTGGGTGCACCACACCAGCCACTGAAACCAGCTGTGGTGGTGCAGGCCTGTAATCCCAGCACTGGGGAGGCTGAGACAGGAGGGCCCTATGATCCTCAACGCATAGTGAGACACTGTACCAAACAAATAAATAAATAGTTTTTTTAAGCTTTTCCATATTGTCCAGACTTTGTGCAATGAACTACTTGGTGAGTCACCATTAGAAATACCAGGAGTTGGGGTGTAGCTGAGTGATACGGTGTCTTCCTGGCACACTGACAGCCCTGGTGCGAGTCTCAGCATTGTTAATAACAAGGAATGGAGCACAAAGCCTTTCTCTCTTCAGAGAGAGATCTGACCTCACCCCGCCTGTCCCAG